AGCCCTGGTGTTAGGACCCTAGCTCTGCATTTCCCTGGCCAGTGGCCCTTGGCATGGGGCGCGTTTCTGGCATCTTTGCTTTGCCCGTAGAACAGGCCTGATGGCTTTCCAGAGACAAGGAAAGGGAGGTGCCCCCGCAGGGCCTGCTCTGCGTTCTCAGGCGGCCCTGGAGCTGTGGCCCTCAAGGGGTTGGGAGTCTCACAACCCCTCCGTCCCTAGGGCTGCTGGAGACCACAGTGCAGAAGGTGGCCCGGGTGAAGGCCCCCAACAAGTCGCTGCCCTCAGCCGTGTACTGCATCGAGGATAAGATGTGAGTGTGGCGGGGTGTGTGCAGGGCTGATGGGCCTGTGCCAGCTCGGAGCTGCAGGAACACAGCAGGCAGCAGCTCCTCACACCAAGGCCCCCTCTGTCTCGGGCCAGGGCCATCGATGACAAGTACAGCCGGCGGGAGGAGTACCGAGGCTTCACGCAGGACTTCAAGGAGAAGGACGGCTACAAACCTGATGTTAAGATTGAATACGTGGATGAGACGGGCCGGAAACTCACACCCAAGGAGGTGAGCAGGGCCTTTTGCAGGCGGAGGCCAAGCCCAGGGCCGTGCAATGCCCCAGCCTCTGGCCGGGGGCCTGGTGAAGTGCCACAGATGGGGAGGGGCCCTCAGGGCTGAGAAGGGCTGTGCCTCAGTTTGTCTCTAGTGGGCACAGCAGTCCTTTCGCAGGCCAGGCAGGAGGGTCCAACAGGCACTTGGGACCTCTGCCCTCCTGTCCTCACCCATGTGAACCCTTCAACAGCTTTCCTGGCCCGCAGGGCCATTCCAGCATCCAGACCCTTCCATCACTCTCGTAGGCTGCCCGACCCTCCTGCCCCACCACTCAGCTGCCCCCGTGCTTTCTGGGGTTTGTCTCCCTCCAGCCCCAGTGTCCAGGCCCTGCCCCTGCGTGGCAGGTCTCCAGGTTCCCTGTACTCTGCCACCATGGCAGCACATCTGCTAGCCAAGCTGGTCTCCCGGCCTCTGCTGGGGCCCTGCAGAGTGCCAGGGTCTGTGCCCTTTTCCTATCCCCTTCCCACCACCCCAGGCCTGGCATTGGGGTGAATCAACACCCGCCCTGTTACTACACACCTTGTGGGCACAGGTGGCTCCGGCCCCAGCCAGGGCTCTGCAGCTCCCCTCATGCCCTGTGTCCCCAGGCTTTCCGGCAGCTGTCCCACCGCTTCCATGGCAAGGGCTCAGGCAAGATGAAGACAGAGCGGCGGATGAAGAAGCTGGATGAGGAGGCGGTGGGTCCTCTTGGGGACGTGGGGGGCCTTGCGCCTGCTGGGGCAGGGGTGGCTGGTGTGTGGGGCCTGCTGCAGCCCTTGTTGAGTGGCCCTGACCCCGCAGCTCCTGAAGAAGATGAGCTCCAGCGACACGCCCCTGGGCACTGTGGCCCTGCTCCAGGAGAAGCAGAAGGCTCAGAAGACCCCCTACATCGTGCTCAGCGGCAGCGGCAAGAGCATGAACGCGTGAGTGACTCGAGGCTGGTGGGGTGGGGTGTGTGGGGTGGGGAGGGGAGGGGTGGCGTGGCCTGTGCCCACGTCTGCAGCCTCACGGCCTGTTCTTCTCTGCAGGAACACCATCACCAAGTGACAGCGCCCTCCCTCCCCGGCCCCGCCGCAACCTTCATATTAAATAAAGCTCCCTCCTTATTTTTTCCTCCCTGGTCGTGGTACAGATTCCAGGGTTAGATCCTTGGTTGGGTGTGGCACAGAGTCTGGCTCCTGCTAGGTGAGACCCAGCCATCAGATGACACAACTAAACGACAGAAGAGCGAGAAGGGTCCTCTGAGGCTCCTTCCTTCTCCTCTGGCTGTCGGTCACATGTCTGCAGGGCCGGCTCTCTGATAGAAAGTGGAAGGCGGTTTTAGAAACTCGTCACCCTGCTCTCTCCTGGCCTCGGGGGCTGCACAGGTCACTGTCCTGTAATCTCTCCCTGTCAGAGAGCCCGGGGCAGCCCAGGACTGCCCAGCCTGGTGGGCTGGGGATTGGGTTTTGGGCAGGGCACAGGTGCCACCTTCTGTCTTGGCTGTCCTGTGCCGCTCTGGTCTGTGTCTAGAGGAGTGAAATTCCCAAGGTTGGGCTGGGAGTGTTTTGTGCACACGATATGGGGAGGGCTGAGCCCAGTGCCTCCTGGGAGACTTGCCCACATGCAGTGACCCAGAAAGATGGGATCCTTGGCCTGAACTCTGTGATAGAGCTTGACCGAGCTGCTGGGGGACATGCGAGCCTCAAATCCATAGAAAGACAAATGGCCATCTTGGGTGCCCAGGACACTGGTGCCCGGCCCCACATACACTCACATACTTCCCAGGTGGCTCCCACGTTTTAAGATTTTAAAAATGAAACCAAAAAATAAATTGACGAAAATTGTGAACTTTAAAAAATAATCAGCTGGGCACGGTGGCTCACGCTTGTAATCACAGCACTTTAGGAGGCTGAGGCAGGAGGATCGTTTGAGCCCAGGAATTTGAGACCAACCTGAGTAACGTGGCAAAACCCCATCTCTACCAAAAATACAAAGATTAGCCAGGTGTGGTGGTGAGCGCCTGTAGTCCCAGCTACTTGGGATGCTGAGGTGGGAGGATCGCTTGAACCCGGGAGACAGGCTGCAGTGAGCCCTGATTGAGCCACTGCACTCCAGCCTGGGTGACAGTCAGACCCTGTCTCAAAAAAAAAAAAAAAAATTAATTAATTAAAATAATCTTGGGGTGAGAAAACTGTAGACAAGGTGCAAAACCCAGTAGCCTGAAAATGCACGGTCGGCGCTGACGCCATTGCTTTTGTGTGGCTGGAGCTGTGGGGCTGAGTCTTCGGGTGCCCTTCCTCGAGCTCTGTATTCTCTGTAGTTTGACATCTGACTCTTGATTCTGTTTTCATCTTGGCTGCTTCCTGGGCTTCTTCAGGAAGGGTGTCCTGGGACGTCTAGGCTGGGACTAGGACTTGGGGCAGTTTCAAAAGCCTAGGAGGAAGCTGAAAACAGTGGCACACGCCTATAATCCCAGCCCTCTGGGAGGCTGAGGTGGGTGAATCACTTGAGGCCAGGAGTTCGAGACCAGCCTGGCCAATAGCAAAACCCCATCTTGACTAAAAATACAAAAAAAAAAAAAAAAAAAAAAAAAAATGAACATGGTGTGATGGCGGGTGCCTGTAATCCCACCTACTCAGTAGAATCGCTGGAGCCCAGGATGTCGAGGTAACAGTGAGCCGAGATGGTGCCACTGTACTGCAGCCTGGGCAACAGAGTAAGACCTTGTTTCAAAAAAAAATAAAGGAAGCCTAGGAGGTGCTTTCAGGGTTGGGACCGGGCAGTCAGTTGTCCCTGGCATGGACCTCAGGCCCTGGCCTAGTGTTCAAGTCACACCTTGACATCTGCAGGAAATGGTCCTTTAGGAGGCTGTCAAAGCTGCTATCACAGCTGAAAATGACCGCAGCCTGGACTAGGGCCCAGGTGGAGCTGGGGTAGAACAGGCTGGCTTCAGCTCTGAGGCTGACTCACTTTCTGGCGCTGGTAACGGGGCAGAGTATGTGGTGAATCAGGGGCCTCCTCATTCGCACCATCTTGCTTCCTCTCTGCATCTCTGGCTCTTGGTCCCAGCCCAGAGACTTCCCTTCTCTGCCCTGGCATACTATACTCCGCTCCCCAGCTGTGTCCTGCCCGTGTGCCCAGGGCTGAGAGTGGCTGGGAACTACCAAATCCCTGGAGGCCTGAGTGCCCGGGGCAGACAGAACCCAAGGAGGCTTCCCAGCTCTGCTGCTCAGTAGCCAGACACCAGCAGTGCTTCCCCTGCCCTCAAGTACCTGAAGGGCAGTGATGGCTCAAAGGCTGCCCTAAGGGTCAGTGAGCCCTCAGCCAGGACCTCAGGAGCCAGGCGGGTGGCACTCAGGGAGGAGAGGGTGCTTATGTTTGCCCTCTGTGTTTCCCTTCACTGCTGCCTGACCTGGGGCAGGTCATCAAGTCTCTGTCTCACCTACAAAATGGCGGGGGGAGGGGGCCATGATCTCAGACTTCTAGGGCCACCCTACTGTATAGTTGAGGACTGATCCTTCCACAACTTCAACAAAAATGTGCTTAGCATTGGCAAGCACTGTCTAAGAACCCAAAGCAAAGCCGGACAGGCTACCTGGGCCTGTGGGGCTTGGTCCTAAGAGCAAGCAGCCACTGCGCAAGGGCATAGCCAGGTGTGAAGGATGGGAGGAGGCCCGGCTCTCCTCCGGATGGGCCTTCTGGGTTGGTGATGCTGACCCCAGCGCACAGGCCAGTGGTCCAGTGCTGCGTGGCCTTGGTTTTGAGCAAGGCCAGGACAGGGTCCTCCTCTTGCTCTTCGGGCCTGCCCCTTCCTGTGCCCACATCCTACCCGGGTCCTCCAGGCTCCTCCAAGCCTCAGCCTGTGACCCCAAACCTGCCCCACCCAGCCCCAGGCAGGGCCCTGCCTCTTCCTCCACAGTTCAGAGATGCTCTGGAGGGCCCAGGCAGGCCCTGCCAGCACAGGCTCCCTGTGGACCTGGGAAAAGGTGCCCTTCTGTGCAGTGGACGCAGGCCTCAGGAGCACGGTCTGGTAGGCAGATTCGCCCCCATTCATCCTACAGCGTGGTCCCTGGCGCCCCTCAGTGCCAAACCCGTGATTGCCCCGGGGCTTTAGTTTCCTGCCCTGCCATCCCCAGCTGGTCCTGTCATTGTCCCTTGGCTTCCTGAGGAAGGGCTCAGCCCAGGTGTACATTGGGCAGTGGCTGAAGGTGACAACCAGGGTGAGGACCTGGCTCTGCTGGTGTGGGGTCTCTGGGCTTCAGTGCCATGGGTGGGAGGGACAGGCTGGTCCCAGGAAAGTGGGGATTTCGCAGTAAGCGTCCCGGAGGAGCAGGACTTATTGGCTGGAGTTCCCAGAGAGATCCACCAGCAGCCATGTGGACAATGGAGAGCAGGGTGGGGCTGAGGACCCTGAAAATGCAGAGATTGCTAAAAAGAGTTTCCAAAACTGTGATACTGTTTAGAACCCACAGGAAAAGTTGCAAGCAATACAAAGTGTTCCCCTTGAGGCATTTGACAATCATTGGACAAGGGGATTCCGTACTGCCCCAACTAAGTGTGTGTGTCGTGCAAACAAGGGCGTTCTCCCACATAATGCCACCCAGGACATCGGGAAAAGTACACTGATGCATCACTTCCACCTCATTTTAGACCCCAGCTGTCCTAATGTCTATTTTTTTTTCTTTGAGTTGTGGCCTTATTTATTTATAAGCACTGGATGAGTCCCTGGCCACCCCCAGGACAGAGCAACCCTACCTAGCCCCAGCCCAGTTAAATACTACAGTTGGGAGCTAGGGGGCTCGAGGGAGGAATTAAGGGAAATACAGGCCTAGGGACATGTACTCTGTTAAATGGTCACATATAGGCCAGATCCTGTGGTCTGCAGAGCCACGGCTGTCACCACCCCCACACCAGGACGTAGGGAGAAGAGCCTGAGGGAGCTGAGGCAGGCCCAGGGGTGCCCACCCGTCGTGCTCTGAAATGTGGAAGGGACAGGAATGGCTCTCAGGGAGTGTATGGGAAGGACGAGGTTAGAACTGTCTTCTTGTGGGACCCAGTGTTAGGAGCAACACCTGGTTTGCTTCTCTGTAAACACAGCAGCCTTGAGGGAGTCACTGGCCAGCAGAGGCTCTGCCTACCCCAGACCCAAACACAGCCCGGCTCCTTCCCACCTCTACCCAGAAAGGATGGCAGCTGCTGGCTCCCTGCTCCCTTGAGGGGGCCAGGCACAGTCTGTGAGTCCTCGGGGGGCTCAGGAGAAGCTCTGGACAGGGTGGCTGACCTTCAGGCAGGTCCAAAAGAGGGCCAGGCCCAAACACAGCACAGCCGGCAAGATGACAGACACCAGGCTGCGTGGAGGCCTCTGTGTCGCCCTACGTGCTTCCTTGCACCAAAGTAGGCAGCAGATATGTCACTTCCATGGATGTCTGCACCCGTAGGTGACACTTTCCTGCAGCGAGGGTGACATGTGAACTCTGTCCATGGAAGAGTACTCCTGCAGTGCCCACGGATGGCCCTGACACCCACCTGAGGTTCTGGACCCCACAGTGATGATTCCTTTGCAGTAGAGCCGAGGTCAGGTAACCCTTCGGGAAGTCACTTTGCAGACGAGACAGCTATGATGACTTCAGACATATTTCTCCCCGGGGTGCGTTCTGGATTGGAGCAGCTTTGTTGCAGGCACTGCATTGACTACAAGCTGATGAGTCCTGCCTTCCGCCTTGATGAGCAGTGGGCACGCTTGCTCGCCGGGCTGGGCAGTACCTCATAGAAGGGGGTATGCCTGGGGTGGGGCAGGTTTACTGGCTTCACTCAATGGTACAAAGGGGGTCAGTTCCTCTGGGCCCAGCCCCACCCCCATCCCACCCCACTAATCATTGCCGAGGGAAGCCTCTCCATCTGCAGCCACCACTAGCAGGTCACCAGCCTAGTAATGTCCTTTTCACTTTTTTTTTTTTTTTTTTTTTTTTTTGAGAGGGAGTCTGAGTCTGGCTCTGTGGCCCAGGCTGGGGTGCAGTGGCCGGATCTCAGCTCACTGCAAGCTCCGCCTCCCGGGTTTACGCCATTCTCCTGCCTCAGCCTCCCGAGTAGCTGGGACTACAGGCGCCTGCCACCTCGCCCGGCTAGTTTTTTGTATTTTTTAGTAGAGACGGGGTTTCACCGAGTTAGCCAGGATGGTCTTGATCTCCTGACCTCGTGATCCGCCCGTCTCGGCCTCCCAAAGTGCTGGGATTACAGGCTTGAGCCACCGCGCCCGGCCTCTTTTTACTTTTTTTAAGACAAGGTCTCCCTGTGTCACCCAGGGTGGAATGCAGTGGTACGATCATGGCTAGCTGCAGCCTTGACCTCCTGGCTCAGGTGATACTCCCACGTCAGCCTCCTGAGTAGCTGGGACCACAGCCACATGCTGTCATGTCTGGCTAATTTTTGTTAATTATTATTATTATTATTATTATTTGAGACGGAGTCTCGCTCTGTCGCCCAGGCTGGAGTGCAGTGGCCAGATCTCAGCTCACTACAAGCTCCGCCTCCCGGGTTTACGCCATTCTCCTGCCTCGGCCTCCCGAGTAGCTGGGACTACAGGCGCCCGCCACCTTGCCTAGCTAGTTTTTTGTATTTTTGTAGAGATGGGGTTTCACTGTGTTAGCCAGGATGGTCTCGATCTCCTGACCTCGACATCTGCCCACCTCAGCCTCCCAAAGTGCTGGGATTGCAGTATAAGCCACACCCAGCCAATAGTCTGTTTTAGCAAAAGGATTCAGTTCAGGCAACTGCACCCATTGCAGTTCTGGCCGTGAGCCACCACATCCAACCAGAATTATTTCAAAAGACTTTACGATAGAATATTTTGACCTCACATCCCTAGTAGGATGTCTATAGAATATTTTGACCTCACATCCCTAGTAGGATGTCTTTTAAAATAATTTTTTAAATTAACATAATGAATTCTTAAACACATTTAATAGTCTTATTGTTAGTAATAATGATGATGATATTGGCTGGGCATGGCGACTCGTGCATGTAATCGCAGCACTTTGGGAGGCTGAGGCAGGAGGATTGCTTGAGGCCAGGAGTTCAAGACCAGCCTGGGCAACATTGTGAGATCCCCATCTCTACAAAAAAATTTAAAAATCAGCCAGGCATGGTGACATGCACCTGCAGTCCCAGCTACTCATGAAGTTGAGGCAGGAGGAGTTGGAGACTGCAGTGTTCTAGGATCATGCCACCTCACTCCAGGCTGCACGACAGAGCACGACCAAGTCTCAAAAAAATCCCCAAAAAATACAAACAAAAGAAAACTGAAGCTGCATAACAGGTACAATGTGGTTCATTATCCCATTCTATCTACTTTTGAGTATGTTTGAAAATTTCCATTATAGAACTTTGTTTAAAAAGAGAGAGCAAGAACATGTTGGCTTAGCAACAGAAAAGTATACATATGTTCAGCCAAAGACATGAACAAGAATGTTCTTAACAGCACTATTTATAACAGCCCCAAACTGGAAACAACCCAGATGTCCATTAACAGAAGAAGAAATAGCCGGGCATGGTTCTTTGTGCCTGTAATCCCAGCAACTCGGGAGGCTAAGGATCCCTTGAGGTCAGGAGTTCAAGACCAGCCTGGCAACCACCTCTAAAAATATTTTTTAAATTTAGCTGGGTGTGGTGGCTCATGCCTGTAGCTGTAGTCCCAGCTACCCAGGAGGCTGAGGCAAAGGATTGCTTGATCCTGGGAATTTGAGGCTACAGTGAGCTATCCTCACACTTGTGAATGGCCACTGCACTCCAGCCTGGGTGACAGAGTGAGACCCTGTCTCTAAAAAAAAAAAATCAACAAAGGGTAGACATTCATATAACCGAATGAGTAACATGGATAAACCTCATAGACATGAAATTGTACCTCCTGTCTGCTTCCATTTAATACAAAAACTGGCAACATTATTTTATTCTGTTAGAAGCAGTATAGAAGGCCGGGTGCAGTCACTCATGCCTGTAATTCCGACACTTTCAGAGGCTGAGGTGGAAGGATTGCTTGAAGCCAGGAGTTCTAGAGCAGTCTAGGTAACAAAGCAAGACCTTGTCTCTACAAAAAAAATTCTAAAAATTAACCGGGCGTGGTGGTGTGTGCCAATAGTCCCAGCTACTCAGGAGGCTGAGGTGGGAGGATTGCCTGAGCCCAGGAGGTTGAGGCTGCAGTGAGCTCTGATCACACCACTGTACTCCAGTCTGGGTAACAGAAAGAGACCCCAGTTCTTAAAATAATAATAATGATGATGATGATGATGATGATGATAATAATAGGGGTTCGGGGCAGTAGAGAGTGCAAAACCTCACGGGGCTTTCTTTGGGGGGCTGTTTTGTCTCTTGATCTGGGTGCTGGATAAGGGAGTGCTCACTTTGTGAGAATGTATTATTTGTGCACTTTCTTGTATACATAACAGTATTCAAGAAAAAAAAAATTGATGTTGAGTTCATGTTAAGATACAACAAGCATTGGCTGGGTGCAGTGGCTCACGCCTGTAATACCACCACTTTGGGAGGCCATGGTGGGCAGATCACTTGAGGTCAGGAGTTCGAGACCAGGCTGGCCAACATGGTGAAACCCCGTCTATACTAAAAATACAAAAATTAGCCGGGCTTGGTGGCATACACTTGTAGTCCCAGCTACTCAGGAGGCTAAGGCACAAGAATCACTTTAACCTGGGAGGCAGAGGTTGCAGTGAGCCGAGATGGTGCCATTGTACTCCAGCCTGGGCGACTGAGTGAGGCTCTGTCTCAAAAAAACCATCAAGCATCATTTTACATAATGACATAAATATAAAAAATGGCCAGCATGGCTGGGCGCAGTGGCTCATACCTGTAATCCCAGCACTTTGGGAGGCTGAGGCGGGCGGATCTTGAGGTCAGCAGATCAAGACCATCCTGGTTAACACGGTGAAACTCCATCTTTACTAAAACTACAAAAAATTACTCAGGTGAGGTGGCGGGCGCCTGTCGTCCCAGCTGCTCGGGAGGCTGAAGCAGGAGAATGCTGTGAACCCAGGAGGCGGAGCTTACAGTGAGCCGAGATTGCGCCACTGCACTCCAGCCTGGGCGACAGAGCAAGACTCCGTCTCGGGGGAAAAAAAAAAAGGCCAACATGAGAATGAGTGAAAGTTCATAAACTCTTCCTATGGTGACTCACATATGGCATAAGGAACTAGCTCACTGGTTTTGCCTTCTCCTTCCTCTCTTCTCTAAAGTTCTTCATTTCCTAGGCCTGTAACTTGCTGTCTTCCCACTAGGGTGCCTTCTAATAAAGAGCTATCCATTTTCCAAAGCTAAAAACAATGTAAATCTTTGCTGTGGTTATTTTTTGACACATCAAAAAAGGCACCAAGCCTAGATGTTTTTAAAACTTCACAAGTTTATTGACCGGCACGGTGGCTCACACCTTTAATCCCAGCACTTTTGGAGGCAAAAGTGGGCAGATCACCTGAGGTCAGCAGTTCGAGACCAGCCTGGCCAACACGGCAAAACCCTGTCTGTACTAAAAATACAAAAATTAGCCGGGCATGGTGGCAGGTGCCTGTAATCCCAGTTACTCAGGAGGCTGAGGCAGGAGAATCACTTGGGGTCTGGGAGGCGAAGGCTACAGTGAACTGAGATTGTGCCATTGCACTTCAGCCTGGGTGACAGAGTGAGACTCCATACCAAAAAAAAAAAAAAAAAAAAGGGCTAGGCACGATGGCTCTTGCCTGTGTTCCCAGCACTTTGGGAGACTTCAGCCTGGGTGACAGAGTGAGACTCCACGTACCAAAAAAAAAAAAAGGCCGGGCGCGGTGGTCTTAGCCTGTAATCCCAGCACTTTGGGAGGCCGAGGCGGCGGATCACAAGGTCAGGAGATCGAGACCATGGTGAAACCCCGCCTCTACTAAAAATAGAAAAAATTAGCCGGGCGCAGTGGCGGGCGCCTGTAGTCCCAGCTACTCGGGAGGCTGAGGCAGGAGAATGGCGTGAACCCGGGAGGCGGAGCTTGCGGTGAGCTGAGATTGCGCCACTGCACTCCAGCCTGGGCAACAGAGCGAGACTCCGTCTCAAAAAAAAAAAAAAAAAAAAAAAAAAAAAAAAAAAAAAGTTTATTATCTAAAGGCTTTACCTTTAGATAATACACCATTCAAATTCTGTTTAAACTACTCCAGATCAGATAGAAAGATGGTAAGCGCTCTTAACATATTTTGTGATATTAATAAAATACTGATAGTCAAATCTTTTCATTGTTTCTGAAGTTTGTTCCCTTCTGTCTGTTGGTGATAAACTCCTATATTCTGTTGGTCTGAATGTCTTCACTGTGGTGTAGGGAGGAGACAGCCATCCTGGCCCCCACGGCTATGGTGAGAATCAGTGCTGTCCTGCCCTGGGCATGTCTCCAAAGCCCAAACACACTGGGAAGACGGAGTTGGCCCTACTCAGGGTCTCCACTCAGGCCAGGCTGGGTCCCACTTCCCTCTCCCTGAGCCCCAGACACACCAATGCTGTCATTGCATGTTGATAGTCTCTGAGTCCCTGAGCCCCGTACCTCCTGGCCTTAACGAGCCTTGCCAGTGTTCTCCCCACCTCACCACTGCCCAACAGACACAGCATGCCACCTGCTCTGCCTCGGGTCCCAGACCTTTCCCTCCCCAGGCACCTGTTCAAGGGGAGTGAGAGAAGCAACACAGCCCTTCTGTGCCAATGCACACTCCACCTGGGGGAGGAGGCAGAGAGGAGGGGTCCTCAGAAACGGCTGATTTGTCAACCCTGGACAAAATGAAAGGGAGAAGCAAGAAGCAGGACAGATGGACAGGTCTCCCTGCGGCCCCGCCCCCACAAAAGGAATGTGTGGGCTGGGTGCAGTGGCTCATGCCTGTAATCCCAGCACTTTGGGAGGCTGAGGCGGGTGGATCACCTGAGGTCAAGGGTTCAAGACCAGCCTGACCAACATGGTGAAACCCCGTCTCTACTAAAAATACAAAAAATTAGCTAGGCGTGGTGGCGGGTGCCTGTAATCCCAGCTACTCAGGAGGCTGGAGAAGGAGAATCTCTTGAACCCAGGAGCTGGAGGTTGCAGTGAGCCGAGATCGCGAAGCAAGGAAGGAAGGGAGGGCAGGAGGAAGGAAGGGTGTGGCCACAGATCATGAGTAGGATCAGTAAGACAAACCTCCATTCCCAAAAGCTAAATTATGGCAGACATGAGGTGGCTGGGGGACCCACATGAAAGAAGGCACTTGGAGCCTTCAGAGAAGAATGCAGGGAGGCAAAACCCCCAAAGGCCTGAAAGCTTCAGCAGTCACTAGAAGGGGAGCTGAATACATGTGCTGAGGGGCGCTGGGGAGAGGACCCCTTCAGAGGCCACAGTTCTTAGGTCTCACCAGCCCCTCCTTGCTGCCAACCTACCAGATCCCAGGCTCCCTGAATCCTCAGACAATAACTACAGGGGTACCTCATCCTTGTCCAGATACCGATACCGCCATGTGAGTCCTCCTGCACCTCTATTTGGGTGCTTTCTAACTGAAAGAACCAGGGCAGCCAGGCGTGGTGGCTCACGCCTGTAATCCCAGCACTTTGGGAGGCCGAGGCGGGCAGATCACCTGACGTTGGGAGTTCAAGACCAGCATGACCAACATGGAGAAACCCTATCTCTACTAAAAATACAAAATTAGCCAGGCGTGGTGGCACATGCCTGTAATCCCAGCTACTCGGGAGGCTGAGGCAGGAGAATCGCTTGAATCCAGTAGGCGGAGGTTGCGGTGAGCCATCGCGCCACTGCACTCCAGCCTGGGCAACAAGAGTGACAATCCCCCAAAAAACAAAAAAAACCAGGGCAGTTCCCCACCACCCTCCAAGCACTGTACTCCAGCTTATAAATGCTGCTGGGGAGGAAGGCCACTTCTGACCATGCCTGGTGAGTGAATCCATCTTTGTGGGCATGGAGCTTGTGTTCACAGTGGTCCACCAGCATCCTAACTGCTGTTGGGGCATGTGGACCTTTTGATTGGACCAAGAATGCAGTTCCTTTAGGAGACTGTGTTACTAGGTTCGATGTTTTAGGGTTCTGTAGCCCCGAGGCAAGGTGCTGACTTGCTGGTTTTACGTGCTTAGGGTGACCTCTGCTGATGGCTTCTCTAAATGTCAGTTGAATACACAGCCAGCAACTGCCTGTACCTTCTTACATCAGCCAGTAGTTGGAGCCACATTGCTACCAGGAGGAAAAGACAGTGCTCTTCTCATACAAGAGTTATTAAAACAAAGTGATGCCCCAATGCTGTTCAAGAATGAACAGCCTGGTCTGGTTAGTAACAAAGGATTCTGGTACTTGGCAACTTTTTGTGGATTAGCAAGGGTTAAATAACAAAGTGAGTATTTTATCGTCATGAGAATCTATCACAATAACTGAAAGAATTGCTGCCAGTACTGGCACCTGGTATACAGCCCTGGGCACTGCTAATTTTTTTTTTTTTTTTTTTTTTGATGGATTCTTGCTCTTGCCCAGTCTGGAGTGCAGTGGTGCCATCCCGGTTCACTGCAACCTCTGCCTCCCTTCCTGGGTTCAAGTGATTCTCCAATCTCAGCCACCCGAGTAGCTGGGATTACAGGCGTGCACCACCACACCTGCTAATTTTTGTATTCTTTTTAGTAGAGACAGGGTTTTACCAGTTGGGCAGGCTGGTCTCAAACTCCTGACCTCAGGTGATCCACCTGCCTTGGCCTCCCAAAGTGCTGGGATTACAGGCGTGAGCCACCGCGCCCGGCCTCTACTGCTAATTCTTCATTCTTCAGTGTCACCAAGTGAGGCATGCGGCATGCCTCCACACCTCCCACAGGGACTTTTGGATTCTCTTGCAAATGTCGCCAGTGGATCAAACACATGCACAGCATGAACCGCTGGTGGTGTCCATGGTGTCCTGACTTCTTGCTTTATCAATGATTTTCTGAGAGCAGCTCCCACTGAGGAAACCACCCAAACTTCTCTGCATGCTTCTCAGACACAGGTCAGTAGAGATGGTTGGGCCTTGAATGAAGACAAAATCCAGGGTTCTGTGACTCAAGTCACTTTCCTGGGGGACAGCTGGGCAACTACTGAAGATGAAGCACCAGGCCGGGCACGGCAGCTCACACCTGTCATCCCAGCACTGTGGGAGGCCAAGGCGGGTGGATCACCTGAGGGCAGAAGTTTGAGACCAGCCTGACCAACATGGTGAAATCCTGTCTCTACTAAAAATACAAAAAAATTAGTCAAGCGTAGTGGTGCGCACCTGTAATCCCAGCTACTTGGGAGGCTGAGGCAGGAGAATCGCTTGAATCCAGTAGGTGGAGGTTGTAGTGAGCCAAGATCGCACAATTGCACTCCAGCCTGGGCGACAAGAGCAGGACTCCATCTCAAAAAGTAAATAAATAAACAAACAAATAAATAAAATAAGGAAAAATAAAGCAAACCATGTAAAAAGAAAACAAGTGCACATGGAACTCGGACGATGGTTGCCTTGGGTGGGACAGCAGAGAATGGGATAGTCAGGGTAGGATGGGAGGCAGAGTATGTTGCTTGGGTTATTGTTAAAGTCCTAGCTTTTATTTTGTGGTGGTGGGTTTGAAGCTGCTCACATTATTAAAAATAACCAACTAAATATTTAATTATTCTTGACTTTTAATTTTTTATAGAAATGGAGTCTCACTATGTCACCCAGGCTGGCTTTAAACTCCTCAAGGGCTTAAGCAATCCTTTCCCTTCAGCCTCTCAAGTAGCTGGGATTACAGGCATGTGCCACCACGCCCAACCAAAATGTTTAAATATAGGCCAGACTCAGCGGTTCATGCCTGTAATCCCAACACTTTGGTAGGCCAAGGCGGGTGGATCACCTGAGGTCAGGAGTTCGAGACCAGCCTGGTCT